TTTTATTAAAGTGCTTTCACAAATATATAATCTTGCCTCTGCAATAAACCCGAGAGTGGGGAACAGGATATAATTGCACAATTTAGCAGATGAAAAAAATGAAACTCACGGATATTGAATAACCTTCAGGTCACTTGCTACTGGCTCTTGCTTTTTCTACTGTGCTATGCGCCAATGCTTGACTCCATATTTCTCTTCAAATTTAGAAAGCATATAGTCTGTTTTCCAGCAGCTGCTGCTCTCTTTGGGGACTGCCAACATTTTCTTGCTTATCTTTTTACCTCCCAAATCACAAGCATAACTTTTGCTCGGTTTTGAAGGAAAAAATAAGCAAAAACAAAACACTCTTCTATCATGACTTAATAGTTTAAACTGCTCCCCTCTGTTAGGTTCTGTTAATCATGTTGGGAAGTGATAGGTATTTCTTTCTTCAGTTGACCTTATTACCTTGTTTAACTCAGGTAACCTCATTGCTGTAGCTTTTTAAGTGTCTTATAGTAAACCATTTACAAGTCCAGACAAGGAGTCCAAAGTTAGAGCGAGTTAGACAAGAGTTGCCAGTGATGTTTGTTGCTGACATGGAGCTTGGTGTTAACTGTGGATGACTGGTTTTCTAACTTCCACTTTACCTGGAGAACCTCTTCTGTTTTTGAGCCACTTCCTCACCACTGTGCCTTCCGGTTAGAATTCTTGCCATTTAATCCCAGAAAGTGTCCTTTTAGCATTCTTTCCTGTAGTGTACCCCGACAGGGATGCAGGCCGTATATGCTTGTGGTTTTCATCTCTGTTAACTTTGCGCATATATTTTTCTTTTAAAAATAGAGTATTAAATAATGATATGGGATAATTACTGTGGGTGAAAATTTGAGTGGAGCAAACAGAACACAACAAGCCAAGAGATCTGCCTTTCTCGTTCAGGCATTGCTCATTACTTAACTATGGGCTTTCACAAACCCCCAAACTTTGGACATCCTCTTGTCTTACCTGTGAGAAAGGAATTGCATTAAATGATCTCCACAGTTGCTTTCAGTTTCAAACCTCATTCAGATTCCCAAACTGAATATGTAAGAGTGTACTAAATAAAGGTAGGATTGTTGGCAAACCTTCCAGTGGTGGAAAAAATTATCTGAGTGAGCTTAAATTCAGTTGATAATTTTGTTATTATTGGAAATTGAATGGAAGTAGATTAACAGTGATTCAGCTTTCTGGCAATTATAAAATCAACTGAAACGCTCTTATTAGCTAACCTTTTGAGCTTGGTTTCTGATATTGCTCACCATGTTATGCCCAATACTTTATATACCACATGGTCAGCATATTGTATTTCAGGAATACTTTAATAAAAAATTGATGGGGCTGGGCACGGTGGCTCATGCCTGTAATCTCAACACTTTAGGAGCCTGAGGCGGAGGATCTCTTGAGACCAGGCATTTAAGACCAGCCTGGGCAACATAGGGAGACTGTCTCTACAAAAAATAGAAAAATTAGCTGGCGTGGTGGCACACACCTGTAGTCTCAGCCTACTTGGGAGACTGAGGTGGGAGAATCACTTGAGACCAGGTGTATGAGACCAGCCTGGGCAACATAGCAAGACCCCATCTCTGCAAATAATAGAAATATTAGCAGGGTGTAGTGGCACGTGCCTGTAGTCCCAGCTACTCAGGAGACTGAGGCAGGAGGATCACTTGAACCTAGGAGTTTGAGGCTGTGGTGAGCTGAGCTCATGACACTGTACTCCTGTCTTAGGCAACAGAGTGGAACTCTTTCAGAAAAAAAAATGGTAGACTTCTTGGCCTATTTACCTCACTAGGGCAGACTAACTATATCTTAAAACAGCTTTAAAACGTAGGAGGTGTAGAACAAGTGATAGAATGCCAGTTGAAAAGACGTTTTAGAGGTAAAATTTGGCAATAGATATCAGACTGGTATCCCTTATTACCACAGTGGGTGATGTTTCTGCATTACAGACTTGATAGATGGTGTTTTAACTGTTTATATTTAATCAAGGAGAGAAAGAAGCCGTAATTTTTATTTAATGTAGTAGACTATAGAAATGAAAGCAGAGAACAAAGTGATACTAAAATGTATATTTGAATTAGTCTTAGGTTTGTATAACATTTTATTGTGTTCTGGATCATGAATTACTCAGAAAAGCAAATGAAAGCTGTGACTTCTCTTTCCAGAAAAATAAATGCATACTGCCAATTATGCATGCAATTTGCGGGTTTCATGAAGCCCTCATCATCTAGTTATCTGTAGTCCAAATTCTCAATAGAAAAGAACCCTGGATGTTAAACCTTTAATGCCCCTAGATATAGTCTAGACCATTTTTTTCTTGAACTGTGGATATGAGATCAATTGAATGGATCAAGACCAACATTTAAAAGAAAGGAAAAAATAATAAAATGAAAAATATCAGAGTCCAATAGCATGCTAAGAGTAAGTTTTGTTTTGTGTTCAATTTGTGTGCCTGTTTGTATTTTTACACGTGTTAGTTCTATGTCTAAATAAAATGCTTCTATTGCTGTGGATTGAACATTCATTTGAGAAACGCTCATCTATTCTAGATGAACCTCTTTATTTTATAACTGAGGAAACTGAAGCCCTTAAAGACCGATTTGTTCAAATTCTTCCCTGAACCCATTTTATGATAAGTGGCCCAGTTAGGACTGAATTAGACCAATTGTTAAGTTTACTGTGGCTCATTGCTAATTTTTCTAAATACTATTGTGAAGTAAATTTTTGAAAAATAGTAAGTGGATTTTCTGCTTCATAGTTGGCATTTTTAATCCCTTATTTTTTCCACTATAATCATCTCGGTCATTATTCTTTAAGATAACCTGGGGTGGAGCTTCTTTTCCAGAGGATGGAAACATATCTTGGGCCCTCGCGGTTGGCTGTCTGCACATCTGAATCCTAGGATTTTGACCTTTAGGGCCTAATCAGAAGAACTGCAGAATAAGCTATGAAGGGTTTTATATTTTTAATGTCCAAACCAAATTAAATTGTTTTGAATTATCTGTCCATTGACTTGATAGTTGAGTGTAAAATGTGGCATCAGGTGTTGATACTGGATCACTGGGGAGACGTGTGGGGTTTTCTCAAACTTGGAATGCCTTGTGAAATGCAGATTCTGATCCAGTCTGGTGGAGGTTCTAGGTTTCTAACAGGCTCCTTGTAGATGCTGCTGCTGATCCTTGAACTAAGTTTTCAGGATTACCGTATTACCTGCCTTAATACCATCGTACGAAAAGGTAGCTGTCAGGCAATTTTTCTGTCTTGATTTTAAACCTGTGCTTATCAGTCCCCACACACACTCGAGTAACAATGCCCCTTGTTGTGGCACTGTTCAAGGTAATTCAGATTTAGCATTACTTCATTTAACTAGTATTTCCAAGGTTTTCTGCAATACTTAATTTTCTAAATAACTGAAGTCTTTAATTTCAGAGAAAGCATTTCTAAAATATTGCATACTTTTTTCTTTATTACATGCAGTTTACTATTTTCCTTTAGCTTAGTGGTGTAAGTGCCATGTTTTTGGAGACTTTCTTGGTGATGGGCATTGCACTATATGCAAAATGAAGAAAAACCGTGGAGCCTTCTATATCTGTGTTCTTATATCTGTGTTATGTTTTTTTCTATTTTCTCTCTGTCCAGCTACCAATTAATAACATACCTGTCTAAAAAGCAACTGCTTTTCCTTTCTGTTCTAATTGATTAATTCTGACCTGAAAAGTCAGGTAGTAGATTTGCTAGAAATATATATGGGATTAATTCCAGTTAGAAGGGCCTGCTGGTGTGGGGGCTTTCCTAGGAGGGAAGTGATCAGAAAGTTCAATAGCAGTTGAGAGGTAGAGAAACCCTTTAGTTTTAACTGTACTCTGAATAGGTAGTTCAAATAGGAGCTTGCTTGTTTATTCTTTACGACTCTCTCCATGTGCTTTTTAAACCAGTTTCTAGATCTCTCTCTAACATTGTATGTTGAAGTGTGCATGAAGGTAATTTGGGTCTGTATGCATGTGTGTGTTAGCCTTGCTATTGATAGTATGATAATCATAATAAATAAGCAGCACTTCAGGGTCCATCTAAAATGGAGATGGGTAACCTTTTGCTAAAGACCCTGGTTTTCTTACACACTATGTTTTGCAGTGGCTTTGCAAACAGTTTTAAGAATAGTAATAATGACAATAAAGAGGATATTCCTTGGTTCAATTTAGGGATTTAGGTTCTAGAGATTGAAAGACTGATTTCTGGAATACTGTCTTTAGTAGATTATTAATTATGATAATACAACTGTAGTTTCTATTTTCCAAGCCCTCGGTGTATCAGGCAGTCATTATTCAGGCAAGAGCACAACAAGGAGGGCTGTGGTTCCAGAGGGGATATTTACCTAGGGGGTAGCCCCGGTTGCTGTGCTTGGAACACGGAGAGCAATCCTCATAGATAGGGGTGAGATTAAATCTCTTCCTCATTCCTTCTTTACAGTGAATAAGCATGTGTAGAGCCTGTGGCAAGTGTGTTTGGTTTTTTTTTTTTTAACTCACCAAAGCTAGAAATTGTTGGAGGAGTCACATCTATGAAAAATGTATAGTAGTTTATGCCCTTCTAATTAAAAGCAGACAGAACCTGTTTGTATTTTAACTAGGCAGCATTAGAACACTTATCATTTTGAATAGCCTTGCTATTGGTTTTGTGTTAGAAGTTGTAGATTATATTCTCTAAAATTAGGACAAAACTGAACGTAGTCTTAACAGTTAAATTGGATTTTGAGATCCTGAGCAAGGTTTATCTGACATATTTTTACTGAATACAGCCTTTAAAAATTGGTGACCAGATTTGTCTCATTTGAGTCTTATTTTTACATCTAGAGTTTGTCTTATGCTTCAGTACAGTTAAGCGTTCTGGTATACTCTTAGTCTGATTAACCGTACTTTGTGACCTGAGCCTCCGTCAAAGACCATTATAGGACTAGAGAACGTTGGGAGGTAAACGGGACACATTGCCTCAGCTCTGTTCTTTTGCACTAGAATATAACTTGTGTTCAAAGAGACTGAAGAAAGAAAAAGAACATTCCTCCCCTTTATGCTGTAATAAATGTGTTTAGTGTGGTTTTGATATGAATAATCTTTTTTAGTTTATAGATTGGAGGATTTTGTTTGAAGTATTCGAAACTAAAAGCTGCTGGGAAAAATATTTTACTAGAATACAGAGTAGATATCTGTCCCTGCCGTTTGTTAATTGATCCTGCTTGTTTAACTGGGGAATTAAAAATGCATGTCTACCGAAGAGAAATCTGTGGGCATAAACTCCTCCCTTCCTGTTTTCAAACACACATATTTCATATGTTGTTTATCTTATTTAAATATACAGTAGACAAGAGAATGCAACTGCTGTTCCTTTAATACCAGCACTACGCACGTTACAATAGGTGTCACTGTTTTGCTTGGTCCAATCATGATTGGTGACTTCAGCTATTGGCTCCGAGCACTGGCTGTCTGACTCCATCTGCAGGGCTGTAATACCTACTCTCCTCCGATCATTCACCACAACTTCAGCCGGCTGAACAGACTCGCGCAGCCCCAGCACATCTTGCTAACCTAATTCAGAAAACAAGTGCTACAGCTCTGTGCCTGTCGTCTTCACAGTGTAGCGTTTTCAGGTGATCTAGAAAACGGTTATTTTTATGAGCAAATAAGAGAAACAGGAATCATGATGGGGATGTATTTAACAGACCCAGTACTGGATAAAACTTAAAGCCAGTTTCTATTCAACATAGTGAAAAGGTCACCTTGCCTGACTGAGAAAAAGAAGCAAAATATCAGCTTACTGGTTTCTGTTAACCTCTTAGCTGGGGCTGGCTTCTTTTCCTTGATGTTCAAACCAATTTGGGATATCTAACTATAAAGAGAGACATACTGTACTCATGGTAGATGACAAGGAAAAGAACATGAAATGTCTCACCTTCTTCTTGATGCTTCCAGAGACGGTAAAGAACAGGTCCAAGAAAAGCTCGAAGAAAGCAAGTACCAGCAGCAGCAGCAGCAACAGCAGTAGCAGCAGCAAGTTGCCCCCGGTTTGTTATGAAATAATTACCTTGAAGACTAAAAAGAAGAAGAAGATGGCTGCTGATATATTCCCCCGTAAAAAGCCAGCCAACTCCAGCAGCACCAGTGTCCAGCAGTACCACCAGCAGAATCTCAGTAACAACAACCTCATCCCTGCCCCGAACTGGCAGGGTCTTTATCCCACCATTAGAGAAAGGTAAGTGCTGGGCCAGCATGTTTACTTTAAAAGTTTTCCTGTGTTGAAGTTTCTGCTTTTGTACAACCTGTAATGTATTTTAACACAAATCTGTGTTTCCTCTTTTCCCAGAAGCTTTATTGGTAATGGAAAACTGCCTTGTATCTTTTCCAAAACAGTACAGCTGTTTTCCTCTTAGATAAAAATGTTTTTACAAGCTGTAACATTTAAATGATAGGGTTGTATCTATGGGCCATATAAGATAGACAGTTTTTATTTGTCCTTAGCCTTATGAAAAGTTTGTGTAACTTTTTTTTTCAACTTTACTTACCATGTGTTTGCAGTGATTACAAACAGTTGTTTAGTTAGAACCTTTATTTATTGTTTTGCCTTGAAGTTACTAAACTGTTGCTTAGCTTGCAAATCTTTTGTGGTTTTGTATGTTGGGGAGGGAGGTATTAAAAATTCAGGCTGCTGTGAATTAATGAGTTGCCTCTGTTTATAGAAATGCGGTGATGTTCAATAATGATTTGATGGCAGATGTACATTTTGTGGTTGGGCCACCAGGTGGGACTCAGCGGTTGCCAGGACACAAAGTAAGCAACAGCTGCATGACCGGTTTAGCATGAGGTTTACAAAGGGGGACCCTCTCTGTAAGCCTGGAAGTTGGTGTGGGCAGCTTGCCGAAGGCAGGCAGTGCATGTTTCACCCGATTAGGGAGAAAGCGTACCCTCTCCAAAGGGCTTTGGCCACGCTTAATTTTTTTCTTTGTTTCCCTCTACATGGCTTTATATCTCACACATGCCCTCTTAACTCTCCAGTCATGGGAAGTTGTTGTGACAGGTTAGGAAAGTCATTTGTTTACCCTTCTCCTGTAAATCAGTTTTATACACACACACACACACACACACACACACACACACACACACACACACGAGCTGTTATTTTATTTAGCAACGAGGAGACTTGTGCATTAATCTCTTAAAACCTTGAGGTAATTAGCAGCGTGGAGACTGATTTGAATGAATGTCTTATACTTCCATGGCAAGATACCCCATGCCTTGGCTTTTTCAAAGCAGCAGGCTTAGGTACTGTATGTCTACTAAATCTGATTGCTTAGAGTTATTTTTCTGGATTGATTTGCTGGAAATGCTTTCAATTTAGTGTATGAAATGAGATTTCCCTTTCTACACAGTATGTCTTAGCAGTTGGGAGCTCTGTGTTCCATGCGATGTTTTACGGAGAACTTGCTGAGGACAAAGATGAAATCCGTATACCAGATGTCGAACCTGCTGCTTTTCTCGCTATGCTGAAGTAAGCATCACTCGTATGTTTGGGAAGAGTTTGTTTATGCTGTATTTGTACTCTGCTGGTTTCACAGTTAAATATATGTTCTGCATAACAGGAAAGAAGACCGATGAAGAAAGAGGGTACTGCTTACCTTGTAATGTTTTTTGGGGAAAAAATATTGTTTATCTTCCAGTGGAAGGCATATGGAATTATGCAGGCATTTATAGACATACCTTGGCATAGGATTTGGGGCAAGTGGCATATATAGTGATTTGATTTTTAATGACATATTTAAAGCAAAATGACTTTCTGGTGTAGACATTATCTAATAGAGCATGTTCTCTTTGAAAACATTATGTTGAAGAAGTTTTAAAAGCATATATATTATTTTTTGCTTCACAATTCTAGAAATTATGTACTTTATTTAATTAATATCATTTAGGAGATTTCTGGGTGTTCTAAGAGTTATTGTCTCCTAATAACAAATGCAGAATTTGCTGTCTATTGAAAAAATCTGGTCTTTGTGTACGCATAGAAACACATACGCTTATATAAAGTCAGTCACTCTTTCTTAAGGATCAGAAGTATTTGCATTTGATATTGGGGGAAATCTTTGAAAGATATGGGCAGTCTTCGATAGTTGCATATGGATTTATACAGAAAAGCTTTAATTGGTCATATAGAATTATAAAGCTATAAGATATGCTACATATTTATAAAGATAATTTTCCATCTCTAGTGGGTCTCTTACAGACTCCGGTGAATGTTAACCAGGTAGATAGGGTCACCTTCTTTATCAACTACTGGTATTAGACAATGTGGTAATTTTCCATGTGATCAAATACAATTATTACTCTAAATATTTATATGATTTTTCCCATTCTTTAGTTTAGCACACCAAAGTGTATTAGTTCAAGGTTATCTGCTGCTCTAGGGATCTCAGTTAACTGAAATAAATAAAATGTTTGTTGAAAAAAATTATTCAGTGGGTCAAAAAGTTGAACAGTACTTTCACAAAGATTAAAAAGTTGCTGTCCATTGTTTGCTGCCTACTGAAAAATAAGTATTATAGTTAGTTCTATTTAGTATATTTAAATAAAGTATGTAATTCTTTATTTATATCACAATTTTGAAATCTAATTGCTCTAATAAGAACGCTCAGTGGGAGAGAAGGAAATTAAAGGCAAGCGAGATTGTGAAGTACCAAACCTAAACAAGTCACAGTTGTATCTTCTAAAGATGTGAGTACAGAAGCTAATTTTACCTGCAAGGATGCCTACCCTGTGAAGTCGGCTTTGTATTTTTGACAGTGTTTTCTGTTACAGAGGAGACACTAGTAGTAGTTAGGCCTCCAGCTTCACTGCAATCAAGTAGAATGTTGTATCTTCCAAATATGCACATACTTAGGAAATGAGGAAGATGGCAGAGAGTTGTGTCTCATCTGAGCCATTTGAGTCATCATTTGACAAGTGTCTTTTTTCACAGATGCGTTGCCTAGAGTAGATACTGATACAGCTTCTTAAAAGTGTACGTGCAGTCCACATAAAGTGGTAAGAATCAGAAATGAGTCAGGCGCCATTTGCTCTAGTGCTGTGGTTGGGAGAGTGAGTGGTGGTCCTTTTTTCTCACTCACTCCTTCATCCTGTGTGAGTAACCAGTATTCCTGGGCTTGTCAAGAAAAGGGGCGACTGCTTACTTGACAGTTCCAAGGTAAGAGCTGGTCCTGGCTGGCAGTCAGAACATCACAGAGTTGCAGGTGTGTTGTTGAGTTGCCTTGCCAGTAGTAGCTGGATTAGCCTATCAGAGAAGAGCAAGGCTTCCTGGGAGCAAAAAGGTTGGTTTCATTTGTGATTGTGGACATTTTTCTCATGGCCATTTTTGTGTTTTTGTACTTTCTTGCAGAAACCATTGCCAGTTTCTTAAGTTATGTGTGTTTTACTAGGATAAAATAAAATAACTAAAGGAAAACTTTAGATAAAGTAGTTATATACCTTAGGTAGAAAAATTTAAAAGTTGTGCTATAAGTATGTATTTTTCACCTGTATGTAGTTCTTATAGACATCATGTCACCTAAAGCAATGTAAGAGAAGCAGACTATTTCTACCTTTATGTATCACTTTGGGAAACAGCTACTGTCTCCCAGAACCAGGAAGTGTTTCATCTCTTGAAATAGGGATAGTTTGCAGAAGCACAGAAATAGTACATATTTAAGCTTCCCTGCTTGTCTTTTAATTAAATATATCTGGAAATAATGTATTCTTTAATTCTGGGCATGGAAGGAATGTGTATGGGAGAAGGAAGACTTTAGAACTGAAAAAAAAGGAGAAACAAAGTATGGTGGGGTCTGTGTAAAGTTAACTGGAAGATAGCATTGCAGTCCATTCTTGGTAATCTTGGATAATACATGGAATGACTTGAAAAATATCTTATTTAACCTCAGGTTTTATTTTGAGTTTAGGAAAAATTCAAAAGCTTCAAAATGCAATTGTTGCTGATATTATAATATTAAAGGCATTTATTTTTATCTGAATGTGCAGAAAAAAACTTTACGGTAAAACTATATATATTGCTCCTGAAACATATAGGGACTGTTATTTGATTGAATATAGTATATGTATTTTGCTTTTTAAAATAATATTTACTATCTGATAAGCAGTTCTTTTTCAGACAGTTTCAATACCTTCTGTTTTTGCTGAGAAGATGCTGAGTACAACTTTTAAAATAGAGGCTAAAATGGTACACAAAGTTAGTGTCTTTAGTTATACAAACTTACTACTGTGTTGAAATATTAATAATTGCTGAATATGTTTCAAATGTTTCTTTAACCTCTAAACATGTTTGTAGTGTCACATAAGATGATATTCTTGGCACAAACTTGAAAGTAGTTATATCTTTTCTTGCTGGGCATACTCATTTTGTGAAAATTTCATGTACATGTTACGTGTTTTTTTCAGATATATCTATTGTGATGAAATTGACTTGGCTGCTGACACAGTGCTGGCCACACTTTATGCTGCCAAAAAGTACATTGTCCCTCACCTTGCCAGAGCCTGTGTTAATTTCCTGGAGACCAGCCTGAGCGCCAAGAACGCCTGTGTGCTCCTCTCTCAGAGCTGCCTCTTCGAGGAGCCCGACCTGACCCAGCGGTGCTGGGAGGTGATCGATGCCCAGGCTGAGTTAGCTCTCAAGTCTGAGGGATTCTGTGATATTGACTTCCAGACACTCGAAAGCATCCTCCGTAGGGAAACTCTGAATGCCAAAGAAATTGTGGTTTTTGAGGCGGCTCTCAACTGGGCTGAAGTAGAATGCCAGCGACAAGATCTAGCATTGAGCATTGAAAATAAACGCAAAGTTTTGGGAAAGGCACTTTACTTGATCCGCATACCCACAATGGCCCTTGATGATTTTGCAAATGGTGCTGCCCAGTCTGGGGTATTAACTCTCAATGAGACCAACGACATCTTCCTGTGGTACACTGCAGCCAAAAAGCCCGAGCTGCAGTTTGTGAGTAAAGCCCGTAAGGGCCTTGTCCCACAGCGCTGTCACCGCTTCCAGTCGTGTGCCTACCGGAGCAACCAGTGGCGCTATCGGGGTCGCTGTGACAGCATCCAGTTTGCAGTTGACAAAAGAGTGTTCATTGCTGGCTTTGGGCTATATGGTTCCAGCTGTGGCTCTGCAGAGTACAGTGCCAAGATTGAACTCAAGCGGCAAGGCGTTGTCCTGGGGCAGAACTTGAGCAAGTATTTCTCAGATGGCTCCAGCAATACCTTCCCAGTGTGGTTTGAGTACCCTGTGCAGATCGAGCCAGACACCTTCTACACAGCCAGCGTGATACTGGATGGCAATGAACTCAGCTACTTTGGACAAGAAGGCATGACGGAAGTTCAGTGTGGCAAAGTGACAGTCCAGTTTCAGTGTTCCTCAGATAGCACCAATGGCACTGGGGTACAGGGAGGTCAGATCCCTGAACTTATATTCTATGCTTGAAAACTCACTTCCTGCAGCAGTGTGAGCTCTGAGGTGCACATCTGCTCCCGACTCGCTTGATGCTTAGCTCATCTGCAGATCTGTGAGCAGCACAGGTAATTTGTCATGAATGAAGCAGTAGGCAGTTCTCATTTCTTTTAACCTTTTAATTATGTACAGGCAAAAATGCAGCATTTCGCTTTTAACTGTATGCTTAAAGGAGCTAAGTTCTTCTTACTTCTTAAGACTTCGTGGTCTTTAGAGTTGCAATTATATACCTTGGGAGATTGTGTGCTCTTCCAAGTGCTGCACCCACCTCCCAGTTTTATTCCTCTGAAGATAATTTTGGATCACCTTGAATTTCCTTTTGGGCTTTATTTGGTGAATAGAAGTAAATAGTCTAAATTGATAATAAGAGTTATTTTTAAACAGAACCCCTCTCCCCCCCCTCGAAACAGACAAACCTCAGTGTACAATTTGAAAGAAGTTTTGCCTTGTAATGAGTAATAATGTAGAAAGTAGACAGTAGTCATATTTGGCTCTTATTTTAGTTCTTTTAAATTTGTTCTGGGATTTTTTTTAAATCCAAAATTTATAAGATTTTCACATATTAAACACTAAAGTATTAATAGGAAAATAAGAAATTGGATGTTTATTTAGGCCATGACTTCTACTACAAGCAAATTTTTATTCTTTTAGTTTAGAACACAAAACATTGCAATATGGACACTTCTTTTAGAAGTAACTAAATTATAAAATTTTATTGTCAATAAAAAAAGAGTTGCAGTCTTACTAATTTAAATGTGTTAAAAAGGAAGGCTAAAAAAGACCTGTACTACAAATAATTGATGGCACATTAGAATACACTGTTTGAAAAAGCCAAACTCTTTTTTCTCCACTTAGCTTTTGATCCCCACTCTTTGCTTCTTTTTGTAAGTTGTACTGTATAGAACTCCTATATTTTTTCCCATTAAAAGAGGACCAAACAATTCTTTATATAAATGGAGTAACAATTAGTTTTGTAGCACTACATGTTAATGTGATAAGATACTTTTGTTCATTTTTTTTTTTTTAACTCTGAAATATACTTTCTCTGTTCTACTTTGATCATATACTCTACTCTTGTTAATTATAATTCTGTCTGTTCCTGGACTGCTAGAATCTGGCCTCTGGCCATCTTAAAGTGCCAACATATGCCTGCAGGGTTTTAAAAAAATGATCTGGAACGACACATTTGATTATACCTAATATTAGCTGCGTCAGCATTACATCCAGCTCTCTTATTTGTGCACGGATAATGTAAACAAAGGAGGGAAAAGCTCATTAAAAAAATTCTCCTCAGTGATGGCTTGTGTTGGTTTAGTGCCTGTGTCCCTGGCAGTGTCCCGTGTGTTCACTTCCAGTTGAAGCATCCATGTGTTTCTGGGCAGCTTTTCTGCTCAGTGTGATCCTGAGATGGCTTCCCCCCGCCACCCAGAGTGTGGTCCCTGGCCGCCTCCTTCTCCTGCTCCGCAAGCCGAACACTGGCTTGGCTGGAGCCGGGGCTAGTCCCAGGGTGTGTGTGTGCCTGCGTACCCGTGCGCATGCAAGTGTGTTTGCCGACTCAGGAGTTGTCTCCTCCCTGCCTGGCTAGTGAGGGTGGGACAGTAATGGTCCTCCTGCTGGCCCCAGCAGGGCCCAGTGAGTGACTGCCCTTACTTATTCACTGCTTCTGGGCCACTTCTTCCCCTGTAGGTGTGGGCTTGTGGCCTTTGGCAGGCTTCCCTGAGGGAGGAGAACACTGGATTATGGGAAATGTTTTAATCACTTTTGCCTTTACTACGTCTGTTAGTATAAATGATCAAAAACCTGTTTCTGTGATTATAAATGAGTTCTTCCAGGGCAACTTTTCAAAGTTATCTAAAAGTTATTTCTCATTAGAGAGATTACAGATTGTAGTTTTGGCAAAACGTTGATGGCATAAAGATACATTTTCAATTAGAAAACATATTTCTACAAAGGATTTTGTTTTTAAGTTGTGGTTAAACATTTCAGTAACTCATAGCTACCATACAAATTGGTAGACCTGATTAAAAGGCACTCCTGTTTAAGCCAAAGGAGAAGAAACTTTAGCACTAATTTCATCCTATGGGATTGTCGAGGTGGCTGTGATGGCCTTAGATAAGTGGAGACAGTTCACTAGCACTCACTATCAGTACTGCTGTTAACTAGCTGCTTCCGTGCAACGAGGGAACTGCTGGTGAAGGCCATGAGAGCTCCTGTACACTGAGAATAGAAGGACGTAATTTTATGTTAATTACTATTACTTAAAAAGAAATGTCACATGTACCATCCGATTGGCCAGTGCTGAGAGCTGTGGGTACAATTGGAAAATTGTATTTAGAATTAGAAATTTTGCATTTTAAACCCTGTTTTCCCTTCTGCATTTTCAGTGAAATGGAATGAAGGCTAATGTGCTTGCTTTATTTTCTTTTGTAATCTTGCATTCTGTAGCTTTTAAAACTAGAAACCATTGTTCTAGCCAGGCAGGCAACTCTTGTGTGTAAACACAACTTGGTTAAACCATACGCTGTAGATGCTTCTCCCAATGTATCTGGCAGTCTTTGTCATTGTTCATGCTGGGGATGAAGGGGAAACTAGGCTAGCAGTTCTAATGTAACATTCTTTGAGCATATCTTAAAATAGTATTTAAGTAAATGGTCTAATTTCTACATAATTATTGCACTGAACTGTCTTATTTGTTTTTTAGGTGTTTAAATAAGCTTAGCTAATTCAAGACACTGTAGCCACTTATGCATCAGTGTGCTTGGGTTTAGTAGCTTACAACATTATTTATGAAGGAAAAATATATAAATATGAAGTACCTCATGTTGAATGTTATTGTACTGTATTTTTAATGGAACAGTGCAGATCTTGTTAGACACATGAATGTGTATAATCATGTTAAATGCAAATAAAATAAAACTAGTTCATAGATTTGTTTTCCTTAGTGTTTTTGTCACTCCCTTGAGATAGTAAAAAGTTCATTCTGGTACTTTTGGTGCCACTATATTTTACAGTGCTAGTTGCACAGGAATGTTTGTTTGCTAAGTGTTCAGATATCTTTGATCCCTAAAAAAGTAAGAATTTGAGGCAAAAGCAGAAGAGAACAATGAATATGTTAATCAGCTGCATTGTTCAAAGCCTAACTGTTAAGTTAATGAGGGGGGGAATGGATGCATTCATGTTTCCGTTATGGAATTTGTGGTTGGTTGAGATTCTGGAGCTACGGTTGTTCAAGTGTCTGGATCTCTCTGTACTCAGCGGGTATTGAAACTGAACTACATCTGGCTTCTGATGTGACCAGTGCTGCTTTTTCCTGTGTTACAATAGCTTAAGTCTGGGAATAAATAACTAAATAAAATGCCATATGAGTTTTTATGTGCTCAACTAGTTTTCCATCATATTTTTTTTCCATATCAAGTACATATATACTTGCACATGCACACACTCATACATAGTCACACACATAAACTTTTTCCTTTGCAGTTTTCTGATACTTTCCTACAATAGTTTATTGTGAAACCTTGTATATTTGCTTAACCGCTTCATTTACTCAGTTCAGTTTTTACCTATTCAAAAGAATTTTGGAATTATTCCAAAGTATAAGGGAACTGGAACTCCCCATTCTTGGCAGCTTAATCACAGTTACAACCTGAATTACAAAGATCTTGAATCTAGGAAAGCCTTAGCCATTTTCTCTTCTTTGTTGCTGCTTAAACTTAATCCATATATGTTTATTTTCGTTATCCCAAGACAATTGGGAATGATCCTCCTCCATTGTTGGGACTCAGGATCAACATGTCATGGAGAGTACACTTTCTTCCCAGCTGACTCTGTGACTTGCCTGTTAAAGCCATGGGCTTAAAGTTGGGAGAAAATAGGAAGGAGGAAAGCATTTCTGAGGAACTAAATGCTATAAAACCTAGAGGCCAAAACAAGCAGGTGGCTGTGAGAACCTGTAGGGAAGTGTGTTAGATAAGGGTTTTGAGCGCCTTTGAGGTGCTGCAGTAGAAAATGAACACGCTTTTTGGATTTTTCATTATTATATATCAGGATTTTTTACCAGAACCATTTTCACTTACTGACCAACTACTCCCTTGCTTTATACTTTATCTGTCCTCTACTTTCCAAAGTATGTGTTCTAACAACACTAATACTAGGGAAATTGTTCAAAAATAGAGTTTCTTCACTTATTTCCGTAACCAACATAAACACTAGCGCAGAGTTTCTTCGCCAAGAAATTGCCAGGTCTGTGAGATGGAAATATCCATGAAGAAGTGAAGACCAAGGCTGAACCTGCCAAACACCACACAGCATACGTAAGGCACAGATGGGTCTCTGGCGTGTGTTGGAATACATTTTCCACCTTGGGCATCTCCCCACATTGATTCTTTTAAACCTTTTTTAAGGGGTGGAAGGCAGAGGGAGGGGTTTCATTTCTATTTTTGTAGACCCTAACTAACCTTATGATTGTTTTTTAGATGCCTGTCCACTTAAATATCCACTGGACAGCAGTTTTCCTAGCAGATGATGCCATTTTACACTCTACTATCTAAAAAAGCCCCTGACCTTAAGATTGGTAGTTAAATGAAACAGCTCATTCTTTGTCAAATCTGTGCTTTAAAATAAATGTGTGTATAGGACCCAATGAAAGTTTCTAACCCTTAAAAGTTAGTATACTCTTTACTTACTGAGTTTTTAAGCTGTTGTTGGTAGTAACCGGAGTAGGTATGTATTAAAAGTTACTATAAGGAAGATGATCTTTTTTACTTCATGGGACAACAGTATGGACAAGTATTTCAAAATTAAGGCTTCTTGTTTTTATGACTTTGGCAGGCAGTTTTATATGTAATAGACTCTTTGACATCATTGGTTTCAGAGGAGTGAAATTATACCTGAAAGAAATTAAAAACAAGCCACACAAGTGGCCTTGTTAATTTTAACATGAAGTACTGCAATAAATCCATGAGCAGCTTAAATTATGAAGACTGTGTTGTGAGAAACCAGAAAAGTCTATGAAATACTGTTTTGATGTGTAGCAGTCTTTATTATAGCTATACAATATGAGGTTTCCTTACTAAAGTACTATGTTCAAAAAATAATCAAAAGAAAGATAATGACTATTTAAGGAAGCTCAAATAATCTTTGAAAGCTTGAAGCAGAGGGTACCACCTTCTGCTACACTGTGGAATATGTAAAAATGTACTTTTGAGAGACATTCTATGCATCTTATGGAGTTTCATTTTGTGCTTGTCTTAAACAGTCCAAACTTTAAATTATTTCAGCACCCCTTATAATAGTATTGAAACAGTGCACTGATCCTGAACCAATTCAAAATTAAAAGCTGTCATAGATCTTCACTCTCAAAGAAAAATTCCAAGAATATTCAGAGGCAGTAACGGACTAGGGAATATTTATAGTGTTTTCTGCATAATTTATCTCCTGTAAGAGACAGAAGGTTTAATGAGTCATCCAAAGGGTCAGTTCACTGTTCATTGATCATTTATTGATCCTTTGCTTCATCCCAGACTTTTACACAAGTACTGAGGTGGTGTGGCATGTGATCTTGGGAACTTAGAGTTTGTGTAGTTGCTGCTGTACTGTTAGTACACAAAAGAGATTGCTGGGCTCCACCCCCAGAAACTCTGATTTCGTTGGTCTTAGGTGGTACCTGGGAAATTGCATATCCAGTGGGCTTCCACATGGTGGTGATGCTGCTATCAGATGGCACCAAATAGCGCTAATCTAAGTGGGTGGTGCCTAGGGGAGGGGCTGTGCAGGATGAATCAGTGTTAAGGGGTAGTGGGGCGATGCCTGGGGTCATTGGAAAGGGGCATGCAGGTCAGCATCAGCGTGGAAGAGTAAGTTTCCAAGAAGAAAGGTTTTAACTGGGTTCTGAAGGATGTGTTAGAATTACCTAGGGTAACATTGTTGATGCAAATTGTCATGGTAGGGTTATGGGGAGGGACAGAGAGGGGAATTAAGGGAATTCCAGAAGAAAAACAACAGGGGGAATGGAATGGCAGACAGCTCAACATGGCTCAAGTAAAGGATGCCTGTTGAAGAATGAGCTTCCTCTGTTGTGGGAGGGCTTAGAGTAGGGTGATGAGCTAGGTAGGAGCATGAAGTTAGCTTTTCACGTATTAGGCTACTTTATCTGGCTCTTAGTGACACTGAAGATATGTAAGCATAGAGGAAACAATAGTTCTGAGTTTTAGAAACGTTCTGAACTCCAGGAAAGGTAGGATGAAGGCAAGGGGGACAGCGAGGGCTGTGAGAGCCATGCTAACCAAGACTGAAGGGGCCGCAGCTGGAGAGAAGGATGAGGAGCGCAGGCCTGTGGAGGGGAGGCCCCAGGGTGCAGTGGGAGCTTTTTAGCACCCAGCGAGGAGAGGGTCTGCCGAGGCTAGAGTGCAACCTCTTGCCTTACATTTATCCTTTGAGATCATCCTCTGTGGATAGTTGGTTTATAGATACCTCCCTTGATTCAGTCCTTACATTCTTTTAGGAAAAAGTAACGAGAGTCGACATAGCCTAGAGTTAATAGCTCAGACCCTGGAGGCGACTGACAGCTGGATTTGGACCTTGGCTGTAGTTGCATGTGACCTTGGGGAATTACTTAACCTCTCTGAGCCTCTGTTTCCTCAAGAAAGATGACAGCAATAACAGTACCTTCCTCACGGAGTTTTGACAAATAAATGAACATTTCCAAACTTATAACAGTGCTGGACAAACAGAAAGTGCCATGTAAGTGTTGATTAAGTGAAACAAAAAGTTAAAGGCCATAAATTAAACCGGTGCTCTGCCCTAATATGCATTTATGAGAACCATTGACTTTCAGTTTATACTCACTTTTTACAATTTGTCAATGCAGACAATTAAAAAGTAAAAGTAATTTTGTTGCAATTTTAAATTGCTATGGTCAATAGTTAGCGAGAGTATAAAGCTACAAAGAGCTGTATTGTTGGGGAATTCTTGCACTTTCTCCAAATTTATTATAAATATTTCAATTTTGTCATGTTAATGAAAGATAGAAATGATTTATTCTAATGTAGATGGATTCTAGCATATCAGACGTTTTCTCTGCTAAAGAATTGTCTAGGATTCCTCAGAAAATTACTCTGCGAAAACTGAACGTGTGTATGCGTAACGAGTTTTTAAGATACTTTCGAAGAGGAGTCTATCTTTTCAGGTAAAAAAAGTATGCCCCTTACTAGTTCTGCTAGAGTCAACATAATCTCTTTTGGGGGAATCTGCAGCCTTATGCAATTTGGGATGTAGCCCCTTCTTCAAATATATTGGAATGAAAATCAGTTTTAGCATTGAGATTATTTGTTGAGTGTTGGAAGCAGGTTTGACCTTCATGATGACTGCTGTGAATGTTACAGGGAATCTTTGAATGGCTAATTGTTTTTATTCAAGTAAATACAGGTGTGCCGGGAGCAATGGCAACTAAGTTTGGGTGTCCCCATGGTTGCTGGCCCTTCATCTCTGCCTTCCCCATGGATGTCCCCATCTGCAGCCTCACCCAGTTCTTGAACCAATGCTGGGACCTCATTCCCCTAGGTCCCTGATGACCCAGAAGCCAATTCTTGGTCCGCTTTACAGGACCAGATTCGACTCTATTTTGCAAAATAAACCATAGGAGCCTAATCTACGCTGCCCCCAGAGATTCTCACTGGGTGGTGGGACCAGTCATCTTTGTCTATGCGAAGCTGGAGGGGGTCATTGGGATTCTGTGACACACATGCAAAAGCTTGAGAACCCCTGATGTAGATGAATCCTGAAACCTTTCCTGAGATCCACATGGACTTCCAGCTTCTTCCAGACCCTGTTCCTTGCTGGGGACACTGGCACCACACACTCCTAGAACTCAGACCGGTGCTTATACCCTCAACCCATGAACCCTGGAGCTGACTCCAAACACAACCATC